TGGTGGGATTAAATGGAGGATGGTGATAAAGATGGTGATAAGGGGAATATTTGATGATTGTAAAGATAATGAAACTGAAGATAAGAATCAGGATATTCCTATGTGAATGACCTTGTTTCTGCTAACAATAACGATTTATGATGATAAGAATGGTAGCGGTAATAATAGCAGTAAAGTAATTATGAGAAAGCCAATAACAGAGATAATGATGAAAAAAAATACGAAAATATACATGATAATGATGAAATGTTATGATGAGGATGTTATTGATGATAATGACAATACTATCATTATGCCTAAAAATTATAATGACGATGGTTATAAAAACAACAATAATAATGATAATAATAATGATAATAATAATGATGCGAACAATTAGAAATAAAGTGGTAGTGAAAATATCAATGAAATCAACAATAAAAAAATCATACTACTCCTACCACTGATACTACTAATGATGATGATGATAATGGAAGTAATAATGTTACTAGTGGTAACAAGAGTAATGATGATAATAATAATAGTAATTATTAACATCATAATAATGCTAATAATGATGATAATGCTAATAATAATGGCAATAATAATAACAATATAATGATAATAATGACAATGATAATGAGAACAATAATAGTAATGGTAATAATAATAATGATAATAATAATAATGATAATGATAATAAAAATAATAATAATAACGATAATAATGATAACATTTGCTCTTTCATAACTTCATACTTGGCCATGTACTTTAGGCTTGTATATGTTTTAAACGTTTAATTACTTTGTCTGATTTAAGACTTAGATTATGACCTCTATTCAGCTTCGATGCAGGCTGTCCAGGGATCTCTCCTATTTCTAAAGCTGAGAAGGACAATATTAATAAACAAAATAAACTGGATAACAAGATTAGTTTAACTCATTTCTGACATAATAATAATTGTAAAAGAAGAGTAAAGGAGAAATTGAATAGATAAATAAAACAATCACAATAAATAAAGAATAACGAATAAAATCTCCACTGGTATTCGGCTTCAATGCAAAAGCTTTCAAAACAAGCAATGCACTTATTGTCACTGCTTGTAAATGTAAAATACAAAATGTCCTGTTGCCGAGTACACTGTAGTACACTGTAATACCAGGAACTACAACATGTTACTCGGAAAATTTAATACGTGGTATATGGTTTCTCCTATTACGAATGTGATGTTGTACCAGGACTTAAACAAATTGGCTGATACTAGGGGGTGGTTCGCCTTTTTTTTTTACAAGCGTATAAACCTTACGCTGGGGTGTGTGTGTGTGTGTGGGGGGGGATGGGGTCAGGGACTGGTGCACGCTTTTTAAACAAACAAACAAAAGTAATGCCTATGTTTCTCTCTCTCTCTCTCTCTCTCTCTCTCTCTCTCTCTCTCTCTCTCTCTCTCTCTCTCTCTCTATCTTCTATATTTTATTTACTATTATTTTAATGACACGTTGTATAAACCAGCGGGCGCCATTCTTGCGCATGCAAAATATTTTCACTCCATGAGACTATTGTGATTACTACTACGAAAATAAACCGTGGTATACACTTACATCCTTTTAGTCCCCACTTTGAGATATTTGCCACAAAGGTGACAGGAATAAACTTAATCTGCGTGAACATCAACATTTTCCCGTACACTTTTTGAGAGGCTTAGGGGGGGGGGTATAAATAAAGTAAGTTTTGTACACTCGTGAAAATATTGAAAACTGTGAACCACTCAAATGCACAAATCCCTTCTTTACTGTTCTTTTTGATGGCACAACACCTCTTTCTTGTTCCTTTGGCTTGTTAGTGTTCCCTTTTCAGTGTCATGAAAGGTATATAATAACGTTTTGGTTATATTTCGAGCTCTGATATAACGGGCTTCCTGGTACGTGGTGATAATTTTACCCAAAGAGATGGTCTTCCTAACAATAGGAATATATTGTTGATGTTGATGTTGATATTGTGTTGGTGTTGATGTTGATGTTGATGTTGATGTTGTTGTGATGTTGATCGTTGATGTTGATGTTGATGTTGATGTTGTGTTGGTGTTGATGTTGATGTTGTGTTGGTGTTGATGGTTGAATGTTGATGATGTTGTTGATGTGTTTGTGTTGATGTTGATGTTGATGTTGATGTTGATGTTGATGTTGATGTTGATGTTTGGTGTTGATGTTGATGATGTTGATGTTGATGTTGTGTTGGTGTTGATGTTGATGTTGATGTTGATGTTGATGTTGTGTTGGTGTTGATGTTGATGTTGATGTGGCTTTGATGTTGGTGTTGATGTTGGTTGATGTTGATGTTTGTTGATGTTTGATGTTGATGTTGTGTTGGTGTTGATGTTGATGTTGATGTTGATATGTTGTGTTGGGTGTTGATGTTGATGTTGTGTTGTGTGTTTGGTGTTGTGTTGATGTGATGGTTGTGTTGGTGTTGATTGATGTGATGTTTGATGTTGAATGTTGATGTTGGTGTTGATGTTGATGTTGATGTGATGTTGATGTTGTGTTTGATGTTGTGTTGATGTTGATGTTGTGTTGATGTTGATGTTGATGTTGTGTTGATGTTGATGTTGATGTTGATGTTGTGTTGGTGTTGATGTTGATGTTGATGTTGATGTTGTGTTGGTGTTGATGTTGATGTTGATGTTGATGTTGATGTTGTGTTGGTGTTGATGTTGATGTTGATGTTGTGTTGGTGTTGGTGTTGATGTTGATGTTGATGTTGATGTTGATGTTGATGTTGATGTTTGTTGTTGATGTTGATGTTGATGTTGTGTTGGTGTTGATGTTGATGTTGATGTTGATTTGATGTTGTGTTGATGGTGTTGCATGTTGATGTGTTGGTGTTGATGTTTGATGTTGATGTTGTGTTGATGTTGTGTTGATGTTGATGTTGATGTTGATGTTGTGTGATGTTGATGTTGATGTTGATGTTGTGTTGGTGTTGGTGTTGATGTTGATGTTGATGTTGATGTTGATGTTGATGTTGATGTTGATGTTGATGTTGATGTTTGATGTTGTATGTTGTGTTGTGTTGGTGTTGATGTTGATGTTGATGTTGATGTTGTGTTGATGTTGTTGATGTTGATGTTGATGTTGTTGATGTGATGTTGGTGTTGATGTTGATGTTGATGTTGATGTTTGATGTTGATGTTGATGTTGTTGTGATGTGATGTTGATGTTGATGTTGTATGTTGATGTGTTGGTGTTGATGTTGATGTTGATGTTGATGTTGTGTTGGTGATGTTGATGTTGATATTGTGTTGGTTGATGTTGATGTTGAATTTGATGTTGATGTTGATGTTGATGAAGTGGTGTTGGTGTTGATGTTGATATGTTTGATGTTTGTTGATGTTGATTGTGATGTGATGTTATGTTGATGATGTTGATGTGTGTTGATGTTGATGGTTGATGTTGATGTTGATGTTGTGTTGTGGTGTTTGATGTTGAAGTTGATGATAATAACTGATAATGGTAATAATAGTAAGAGAAATAATAATAATAATAACAACAATAATACAATGATAATAGTAATGATGATAACAATACTGATTAGAAAATGGTGATAATGATAATAACAATCATGATAATGGTAATAATCATTATTATTGTTATTGATAATAATAGTAACAATGATATCATTGTTAATATTACTGTTATTAATATCATTATCATTATACTATTATCATTATTATTACTATCATCATAATGATATAATGATGATAATAATTGTTATTATTGTTTTGATTGTTATTATCATTGTTATCATTGTGTATCATTTATCATTATCATTATCATTATTATCATTACTAATGTTATTATTATTTCCATCAGTACTATTATTACTATTGTTATTATCATTATGATTATTATAATTATCAGCATTATTATTATTATTGCTCTCGTTACATTTAATTACTTATCATTATTATTATCAGCATTATTTTAGGCATTATTTTTGTTATTGTTATTCTTTTTTATTATAGTATTTTCTTTAATATGATCATCACTATCATTGTTTTTAGTATTATTATTAATATTGATATTATTATCATCGTTATTATCATTATTACTATTATTGTTATCATTATTACTATTACTGTTATCATTATTATATTATATCATCATTAATAATAACAACAACAATGAAAATAACAATGTTATTATTAGCATTCATATTATCATTATCATTACCATATTATTTTTATCAATATCATTATCATTATTGTTATTATCATCATTATCATAATTATTCTACTTATCATTGATGGTACTATAATTACTCTGATCATTATCATAATATCATAACTGTTATCGTCATTATCATTATTATTATCATTATTATATTATCATCATATCGTCATTATTACCGTTATCATTACGATTATTATCATTATCATCATTATAATCATTGTCATTACCATTATTATGGTATGTGTTACTATTCTCTTTATCATTGGTATAGCTATTATCTTTATTTTGCCTGATACGATTCCACTTAACTTTCTTAGTGCGGATATTCTAGTCTAATAAAAAAAAAAAAAAAAAAAGAGAGAGAGAAAAAATCGAATACAATTCCACTTAACTTTCTTAGTGCGGATATTCTAGTCTAATACAAAAAAATAAATAAACAAATAAATAAACGATAATGTAATGTTTGTTTTTAGAAAGAAAAGTTAAGTCAAAGTATTTAGTAAATAGTTAAATACAATTGGATTCCTTATCCCTTCACAAAGTTTTAACTCCATAGGATACTCTGATATAGTTAGCGTGTTTTAGAAAGCGGAAAATCGAATAATAGTACAATTTTTTTTTTTTTTTTTTTTTTTTTTTTTTTTGTCTCTTTCAGAACTGCGGTTAATATTTACCTCGGTTTACGGTGATGATATTGATGATGATGATGATGGTGGTGATGATGATGATGATGATGATGATGATGATGATGATGATGATGATGATGATGATGATGATGATGATGGTGATGAT